CCCCGAACAAGACCACCGGATTATCCCCTTTTATGATTGTCTATGGTTCGAACCCTTTGACCCCACTTGAGCTTAATCCTATCGTGACGGACACCAAATACCGTTGGGAAGTGGATAAAAGATCGAAGGAGATTCAGGACCTTCACAACAAGGTGCGAGACATGATCGAAGCCATGAATGAGAGACTAAGTGCTCGCATCAACCAAGGAAGGAAGGATACAAACTTCCAACCCGGCGACCTTGTTTGGATCCATCTCCAAAAAGAGCGCTTTCCAACTAAATGCAAGTCAAAACTGTTACCAAGAGCCGATGGTCCATTTGAGATCTTAGAGAAGGTGAATGAAAATGCCTACAAGATCAACCTCCCGGGAGACTATGGAGTGTCGGCTACATTCAACATCAAGGATATCAGCCCGTACTTCGAGCCTGAAGAAATTTTGAGTTTGAGGACAAACTCTTTTGAAGAAGGGAAGGATGATATACCCCGAGTTACTACCAAGGATTCTAATGACGTTAAACAAATCAATGGAATAATGGCTAAGTGTTATGATCCCTTTTGGACTAAATTTATCACTAACAAACCATACAACATAGCCATAATATCCTTACACCCAACACCACCCTAGGGCCGAACCATCATGGTAAAACCCAAACCCCCAAAACATCCAAATAAACACTTAAACCACATTGCCCTTTCTCCCTTTTCCCTTTTACCATCCCCTGTCCGAAAATCCACTTCAAAACCACCACACCCTTAAAACCCCACATTTGCCCCTCCATTACATTCATACACCAAAGGCCAAAACCACATCAAATCATAGCCTAAGCAACCACTCCTTTTTCCCCATATTATGGCCGAAAATAACCATCCAAAAATCCCATGTCATAGCCCATTCTTGTTCCCCATTGTGCTCCCCAACTAGTCAGGCCAAACAATAACTATAATCCAAAACACAAGGGTCCACAATCCCCACCAATCAACCAGCCTATGTATCCCCCATATACCTTTCATAAAAAGCCTCCAAAATAGCCAACCTTTCCCCTCATTCAAACCCCTCCCTGGCCGAATAATCACTGCCCAAAAACCAACCAAATAAGTGGGATACTTTCACATATATTTCTCCCCACTTGTGGCAAAAAAAATCCAATCCCACAAGTACACCCTTTTCTGTTTTTGTTCCCCAACAAAAGGGCATCAATAAGTGGATATTATTCGTCTTTGATTTGTGTGAATAATGAGACTTGGTAGTCTCCCTTGTGTGTGTATGTATAAATTTGGCCATAGGCCTGGTATTTCAACACATTGTATTTTCCCATTTCAGTAGTGATACACTTATGTGTGTTCTATTTAAAATTCCTATTTCTATATCTTAAGAGTGGTTCTCTTAGGTGTGAGTTATAGGTTCTAGATATTTGATTAAGTGTGTCATATCTTAATTAAATTCTAGATTCAAACCCCAAATAAGAGTGTGTAATATCTCTTAAACACTAATTTGGTTTATCCATCTCTGATTTTATCCCATTTCATACCTCCCCATTTCTCCTCTTATTCTTACTCTTTTCTTCCATTAAAATACCCAAAAGAACTCCCTCATCATTTCCCCAAATCCCAGCCGTTCCCACACAAGAACCATTATCTTTCCACCCAGATTTTGGATCCTGACTGCCATTATAATCGACTATCAACAAAGATAATCGATTATCTTCCCCTCCCGAAGTCCCTTGGAATAAGCTGCGAGCCCCAATAATCGATTATCATATACTGATAATCGACTATCTGCTTTCCCTGAAGTTTCTGGGTTTTAGCCGCACAGCTCCACAATCGATTATCATCTAGTCATAATCGATTATCACCTGTTCCTGAACTTTGATTTCTACCAAGAGCATGACTACCAAGTAGAACAACGAATTTTATGGTGTAAGGAAAAGTTCGAGAAGTTCCTTCCATAATATGAGATACTCTTGCCACAATCGTGATATATATAGGCTCTGAAAACCTGACCTTTAAAAAGGGGTAGTTATCCTCAGTCGAAATTTGTACAGCAAAGATGGATTCGAATTTCCTACTGACAATGACGTACTCGCTAATACTACAGTCTGCTGACGATATGACATCTTGAGACTCATGAACAGTTTGATTCACTTGTTAACCTTGGTTTGCTAAGCCTCATGTTTTGATGTTAACAAACAATATAAGAGCTTGACGTTTGTTTAAGTGTTTCAGGTACAACAAGAATCCATTAAGATTCGGTTCTCAAGAATAAAGTCGAAACACCAAACTAGCGTAGAATATAGGTTGAAACCAATGTAAGGATATGATTTTATATACCTATATTCACAAGCTTAAAAGCACTCACAAAATATGTTTAAAACCATCCCATAAACATTTTCAAATATCTAAAAGGTTTTAAACTCAAACACGAAGGATTAAGGGAATTTTGGAAAACGCAGGACAGTGGTACGGTACCCCAAACGGTACCCCATACCGCCAACACGGTACCCTATACCGCCAGCACGGTACCTCTTTACCGTTAGAGGACAGATACCGCCAGAGCCGGATTGGTTTGCTGTATTACCCGGTACCGAGGTACCGCCACTCACGGTACCCCCTACCGTACGCACAGTACCTTGCTACTGTGAGGACGGTACTGGCCTACCGTGACCGTTGGGTTACTGTTCCTGATTTGTGATTTTGAATTAAATCAACCCTAATCACCTCCCAACGGCAAATTAACATATTCCACTATAAATACAAGCCTAATCCTTCATATTTCTTCAAGAAACAAAGCTCTAAAAATCCTCTCTTTTTATTCTAAGTGTGTTCATTCTTTTATTAATGATTTTCAATATTTTGGCTATTTCAAGAGCCTTAAATTCCTGATTTTTATACACACTGAAACTCGAACACAAAGATCAATATATGAGAGTATAAGTATTCAAACTTAACATAAAAACTCTCTCATATGAAAGAAAGATGTGGCCGATTCAAAACAAGTTCATTTTTATATTCTAGCCGTTGTGTAGAATCCTCTTTTGTGTTCTTCAAACACACCTTCTTACGGTCGAGAATAGCCGTTAAATTCTCATATTGTAACGGTCAAGGATAGCCGTATAAATCCTTGGGTAAAGGTTCAAGGATAGCCTTTGAAATCCTTGGGGGAACGGTAGAAGATAGCCATTAAATCTTCGTTGTAAACGGTTCGAGATAGCCATGGTGAATCTCGGAGTGAATCCTATTGGCAAGGGTTGTTTGCCAAACTAGTGCGGTGCTTTGACGGAGTTCAAGAGACCGGGACTTAGTGGATTCGGAAATCCTTGAGGAGGAGCCTCGAGGTACTGGAGTAGGGAGTTCCCCAACCAGTATAAAATCAGTGTGCATTTTATTTACGCTTTTATTTCTGCGTTTTATATATTGCTTCTGCATTTGCCAACACCGTTTTTATCAAACTCCGAAAAGATTTTAAACGCCTTATTCACCCCCCCTCTAAGGCGTGGGCACAACGACTAAACCGACTAACAATTGGTATCGGAGCAGTTTCGTAGTTGAAAGTGCTTAACCGCATCTACGACAAAGATCCACTTGTTGTGTCCTTTTTTAATTTGAATTTTTAAAATCTCAAAACTTAATTTTTCCCTAATTTTTAAAAAAAATTCAAATTTATTAAGAAATGGCCCAAATGGATTCCCAAAGCATTCACCGCCCTCCATTTTTTAATGGTCAAAACTATTCTTATTGGAAAATGCAGATGGAATACTTCATTCAATCAATTGATTTTGATTTATGGTTGAATGTACTTCACGGGCCATTTGTGCCGAGTATTGGTAATCTTGCAGGATTATCTCCAGAGGATAAAAGAAAGTTATCAATGAATGCAAAGGCAATCAACATCCTCCATTGCTCCCTCAGTCCCGATGAATTTGCAAGAGTGAGTACGTGCAAAACTGCCAAAGAAGTATGGGATCTATTAGAAGCCACTCACGAAGGGGATATCTCGACAAAGCAAACAATGATTGCCCTAGGGAACGCCGAATACGAATCCTTCAAGAAAGGACCATGTGAGACAATCCAAGATATGAACAAGAGGTTCAATGAGATTGTCAACAAATTGAGTAAGTTGGGTAAGACGTATACTACTTTCGAGCTTAATACGAAAATTCTATTTTCTTTACCTAAAGAATGGCATAGTAGTATAGTGGATTCATTACCCAAATGTGATAAGGCCGAAACCGCCCACATTTGGTCTTCCTTGTATTCTCACGAACTTTTGTTGAGAAAAATCAAAGAGGAAGAAATGCGTGAAAATCCCAAGCTTACAAATGCCTTCAAAGCTTCCAAAGACTCAACAAGTGAAGAATCAAGCAAGTCAAGTGATTCAAGTGACTCAAGCTCCTCGGAAGAGTCAAATGATGAGGAAGATGAAGAGAAGAAAATGAGAATGAAGTATACGGATTTACTCTAATGGAAGAAATACGTAAAGAGGAAAGAAATATACTCAAAACCGAAACAAGAACGGCATAAGCCAAGGTAAGTTTCTCTTGCTCATTGGGATAAGATATTTTGTTTGGTTTTAATCCTTTTCAAAAAAACCTTATCCCATACGTGCTTTTATTTGCTTTAGCCTTGGTTTGCATGATTAAATAATATTTTCAAAATCCATTTTAAATCATGCCTTTTATAAAATAATCCCCAAAAATCCCTGAAAAATAAAGGTTTTAAAAACTTGCATAATTTAAGGGGGAGTTTTCATTTTTAGGGGAAGTTTAGTTGTAAATGCACATTTTGCCTAATGATCTCCAAACTATCATATTTCCTAAAAATTCATTTTGATAGGGGGAGGGTTTCAAGAAGTTATACATGGTTAAAGTTTTTAAAATACCCTTATTGATTTTGACAAAATGGGGAGAAGATGTATACTTCAAAGTGGTGCATATGCAACTTGACTTAACTAATTGCATCAAACCTAAACTTTTATAAACATAAGAAAAAGTTCAAAGTGAGTATTTTCAATATGCTTATTCTTAGGGGGAGCTTGCTTGCTTTATTATTTTACTCCCGCCTAACTCACTTTGAAGTATATTGTTTGTCAACATCAAAAAGGGGGAGATTGTTAGCCTTGGTTTGCTAAGCCTCATGTTTTGATGTTAACAAACAATATAAGAGCTTGACGTTTGTTTAAGTGTTTCAGGTACAACAAGAATCCATTAAGATTCGGTACTCAAGAATGAAGTCGAAACATCAAACTAGCGTAGAATATAGGTGGAAACCAATGTAAGGATATGATTTTATATACCTATATTCACAAGCTCAAAAGCACTCACAAAATATGTTTAAAACCATCCCATAAACATTTTCAAATATCTAAAAGGTTTTAAACTCAAACACGAAGGATTAAGGGAATTTTGGAAAACGCAGGACAGTGGTACAGTACCCCATACCGTCAACACGGTACCCTATACCGCCGGCACGGTACCTCTGTACCGTTAGAGGACAGGTACCGCCAGAGCCGGATTGGTTTGCTGTATTACATGGTATCGAGGTACCGCCACTCACGGTACCCCCTACCGTACACACGGTACCGGCCTACCGTGACCGTTGGGTTACTGTTCCCGATTTGTGATTTTGAATTAAATCAACCCTAATCACCTCCGAACGGCTAATTAACATATTCCACTATAAATACAAGCCTAATCCTTCATATTTCTTCAAGAAACAAAGCTCTAAACATCCTCTCTTTTTATTCTAAGTGTGTTCATTCTTTTATTAATGATTTTCAATATTTTGGCTATTTCAAGAGCCTTAAATTCCTGATTTTTATACACACACTTTGAGCTTGTGTTTCTAGTTATATACTCTCATATTCATAAGTTTGAATTGTATTTTTGAGAGAGTATACTTTCTTTCTACACCGGCTAAGTTTTGTTCTTCATTTTTATATTC